CACATCAATCTAATATTCCAGCATAATTCCTTATGTTGCTTTCCAAACAGCCTCTTCCAGATCACCCAAATCTAACATCTGGGTTGAGGGGCCAATTTCTTATCAAACCCCAGCACCATGTTGGTCCAGTTTATGAGTGTGTAACCTCAGGTGTGTGAAATGGCTGCAGCAATACCTATATTGTGTTTAGAGTGGATGAAATCAGGCAGTAAAGTAGCTAGCACAATGCCTGATGAGTAGGTGCTTAGTAAATACAAGTGGTATTTAAGATAAATACCACTTGTATTTATAACAGGTAAATAAGACATACCTGTTTTAGTCTATTATTTGGGCTGGGCACTACCTTACCCCAGACTATTCTTGAGAAAAAGCTAGTGAGTCTTATCTTTGCCTAAATATGAGCAGAAGCTTCCTTCCTCTTTGGCTGGAGAGGGACAAGACCCTGGGGTAGGTGGGAGGGGTCAAAAGAAGGTGGGGGGGGTCCTTCGAGACAAATTGCCAACTTTCATTTTGCTTATGACTGTCCTTGTCCTGTTGACCAGTGAGGAAACACACTTGCAAACAGCTCAGGGGTCCCTGGTGACTTTCGTTTGTAGGAAAAGAGGGCATGAGGGAATTAATACCTAAAAACTCCAATCTACCAAAGCAATTGATTATTTTGCTCATTTTGAAAAAACTATTTTTGGGAACTTTTTGCCTCTAAATACTCCAGGTATACTGTTTTGTTCTTGTTTTGTATCACAAGAATGCTATAATACTAAAGTCAATTTTAATAGATTAAAAAAATCTATTTGTATTCACATCACCCTAAACCGCAACTGTTCTGATATTTCTGAGTCCTTGCACAGTCCTTTCCTTAAAACCGGATAATTCTGTGAGCAAAAACAACTTAGGCATAATAAATTCATCTAATCTAAATAAGATGATTTTAGATTTAGGAAAGATTGTATCAATGAATGTATTTGTATTTCAATTTTTCCTACATTTCAATTATTCCTCTGCATTCCCTCCTCCAAATTTGAAATAAAATCATTCTCTTACAAAAGCCAACATTTTTCCATGTCTTGGGTCTAGAAATTTTACACCTTTCAATAGGACAGATCCTTCTACTGTCACCCTGTACTTCCTCCCATTACAAGTGGTTTGTCTCCAGTGTTTATGGCGGCCAAGATTAGAGTCTGACTGAGAAGTAGCACCTTGCTGTACATTTTGGCTTTGTTACTTACTACAGTAGTCTCCCTTTATCCATGGTTTTGCTTTCTGCAGTTTCCATTACCCATAGTCAACTGTGGCCTGAAAATATTAAATGGAAAATCCCAGAAATCAACAATTCATACATTTTAAATTGTGCATCGTTCTGAATAGTGTGGTAAAATTTCGTGTTACCTGTCATCATTCTGCTCTGTCCTGCCGGGACGTGAATCATCCCTTTGTCCAGCATCTGTACCGGTAGATGCTCCCCCACCTGTTAGTCACTTAGGAGCCATCTCTCAAGGTATCACAGTGCTTGTGGTCAAGGGACCCTTATTTTACTTAATAGTGGCCCCGAAATACAAGAGTAGTGATGCCGGCAATTCAGATATGCCAAAGAGAAGCCATAAAGTACTTCCTTTAAGTGAAAAGGTTAAGGGCAGTACTGATGGAGAAACCACATTCACATAACTTTTATTATAGTATATTGTTATAATTGTTCTATTTTATCATTATTGTCGGTAATCTGTTACTGTGCCTAATTTATAAATTAAACTTTATCATAGGTATGTATGTATGTATAGGGAAAAATATAATTTATATAGGGTTCAATGCTCTCTGCAGTTTCAGGCATCCATTGGGGGTCTTGGAACATATCCCTGAGGATAAGGGGGGACACCTGTATTTACGTGTATCCTTTAGCTCAGTTTCTTCATCTGTAATATAATGATATTAATATTGGGTTGTTGGAAAACTCATGATGTATTTTGTCTATGTTTTTCAAAGGTCATTTATTTATATAAAGAACAAAGATCAATCAATGATATATGGCCTGTTTTGTTCGATAACCTTTTGCCATCTTCAGTGAGCTTCATAATTCCTCGTTCATAGAAGGACCTGTCTTTATTTGTGAAAAACTGAACAAGGTGCTGATTTACAGCCTCATCTGAAATGAATGTTATACCATGCAAAGAGTTTTGAAGAGAGCAAAACAAGTGGAAGTCTGACGGCACAAGGTCAGGCGAGTATGGTGGGTGTGGCAACATATCCCATCCAAACTCCAATAATTTTTTATGATCAAACTTGTGTGTGCTCTCACATTGTTGTGATGGAACACAACTCCTTTACAATTAACAAGCTCTGGACGTTTCTGGATGATGGATTCATTCAAACTGTCCAATTGCCAACAGTACACATTCGAATTGATTGTTTGATTCCTTGGTAGGAGCTTGAAAAACATGATACCTTTAAAATCCCACCACACTGAGAGCATAACCTTCCTCTGATGAATGTCTGCTTTCAATATTGTTTGAGGCAAATCATCACATCGGGACCAAGACTGTTTGCGAACCATATTGTTGTAAACAATCCACTTCTCATCACCAGTTATCAGTCGCTTCAAAAAAGGATTGTTTTCCTCACGTCTAATGAGCATATTGCAGATGTTTATATGTGCTGTCAAATGAACTTCTTTGAATTCATGTGGAACCCAAATATCGAGCTTCCTTACATATCCCAGCTTCTTCAGGTGGTCGTGAACACTTGAATAATAGATGTTCAATGTTTCTGCAATCTGTCGTGTCATGTAACGTGGGTTTGACTCGATCAATGCCTTTATTTTGTTGCTATCAACCTTGGTGAGCCTCCCTGACCAAGGAGCGTCATTGAGATCAAAATCACCATCACAGAATTTTGTGAACCATTGTTGGCACTGACGTTCTTGTAGAGCATTGTCACCATAAACTTTATGCAACTTTTCACAAGCTTGATGCACGTTCTTCCCTTAATGGAAGTAAAACAGTAAAATATGGCAAAAATGCACAGCTTGGTCTTCCATCTTCAACTTGCTGTAAAATCTCCAAAACTCAACCAAATTGCTCAAATTGTTTTTAGAGTGAAGCTAGAACTGTCAGCTGTCAAGTGACAGAGAAATAACATAGATGTGAATGACTCTAATACTTCCAAAAATGAACTAGTGCCATCTGTTGCAAACATGTGTCATGACTTTTCGGACAACCCAATACCTATCTGAGAGGACTATTCTGAGGAGTAAATGAGAGAAAGAATTTTACATTATGCCTTTATTTGGAACACTGGGTAAAATGGTAGTTGTATTAGTTTCCTAGTGTTGTCATAACAAATTAGCACAAACTGGATGGCTTAAAATAACAGAAATGTTTTCTCTCACAATTTAGGAGATAAAAATTAAGGTTTTGGCAGGGTTGGTTCCTTCTAGAAGCTTTGAAGGAGAATCTGTTCCATGCCTACCTCCCAGCTTTTGGTGGTTGCTTGCCATTCCTGAGCTTGTAGCTGTACCACTTCAATTTCTGCCTCTGTCATGACAGACTTCCTCCTTGTGTGTGTGTGTCTGTGTCATGTCCTCATAGGGAAAATAGTTGTTGCATTTAGTGTCCACCCTGATCCAGGATGACCTCCTCTTAAGTAATTACATCTGCAAAGACTCTATTTCCGAGTAATGTACATCCTGAGATTCTGAGACAAATGAATTGATGGGGGGGGCGGGAAGGGGGACACTTTTCAACCTCCTACAGTAACCATCATTATGGAAACAATAAAGAACGTGACCTGTTGCTCTCTTTTGTACTGGTGAAGCCGTGCAGATTGTCATGGAGACCTCAGAATGTCCCAAAGCTTTCCTGGAAGAAACACATTTTCTCTTAAATTGTAGAATTCCCTGTCTGCAATTCAGCCCAAGACAGTTCACTTCCCTGAATATTTCCTTCTCTGTGAAACAAGAGTTAATCTATCACCCAAGAAGTACTGATTGACTCTCTACATGACACCTATAGCACCCAATGATAACAAATAATTGTCCTTGAGGTTTCTTATGGATGTGGGAAGATCTACCATGATTTTGCAGAATTCCAGTCATGCACACTCAATTCTCAGATGACCTCATGAATCAAACACTGCACAGAGAATGAAAATAAACTGTTGGACTGTCTGAGTGGTGCGTTGGTTAAGAGCTGGCTTGGGACGCCAGAGGGCCCCAGTTCGGATCCCACATATGAGGGCCAGTGACACCGCCCTCTACAGCTAAGATGCTGAACAACAGCTCAACCTGGAGCTGGGCTGCCATGAGTCGCCGGCGACGGTGTTGGCTGCAGCCCCTGCTGCAGTGGGTTGCCATGGGCTACCACGTGTAGCCAGCAGCCGCAGTGAGCGGCCATCCAGAAGCCGGCGACTGATCTGCCTCACCCGGGAAGAGCGCAATGATGGTGCCAACTTGGGCCAGTGAAGCAACGTCCTCCACAACTAGACTGAAGAACAAAACGACAGCAACTTGTCTGTTCCCCTTCCCCCAATTCCCCAGCACTGTTCCTCTCGCCCAATTCCCCAATAAAAACCTTCAAAAAAAAAAAAGAAAAGAAAAGAAACTGTTGATTAAAATAGACTCTGAGCCCCTTGTAAGAGAGACAGCATCATGGCTAGATGAGGTCCTTCAAGTGGGTGTCTATCTGCTAAGGTGTCATGCTTCTCTTTCCCTGGCTCTTCACAAAGACTGCGAGAAAAGAGAAGGGAAGCAGGGACACAAGAGTAGCGCAGCAGCTGTATTTATGGAATGACAGAAGCAGATTTCATGGTTTGGTGGTGGTTATTTTTTTGGCTCCAAGAAGATCTCACATTCCCATTTCCAGCTCTTGGCAAGAGAATTTGTTCTTGGGGAGTGACCAGGTTCCATCGTTGCTCTGAGCTACAAGTTGAAGCCACAGAACAAGCTGTTAAGTCCCTGTTCCCAGTACAAGGCTTTGTGTTCATGTCATTTTGCATCCTTTTTAAATCCACAGAGGCAGAGGCGCTACACCTAATCCATTTACCTGCTACAAGCAATGTGGCAGAGAATTCTCCACCTGAGACTTCAGTGCACAAGTTTTCTGTGAATTTATCAACATCACTGTCACCTGTGATCCCAGGGTTTCCTATGATAATCAACTCAAGTCCCCTCACCGAAGCCTTCAGGGTGAACTGGCTCTCAGGAACCGACTTTGAGGTAAGTTCCATCTTGCTCCCAATGGAAGCTGTCTGCAAAGAGGGTCCTGAAGGTGAGGGGTGGTGCGATTCTAGATCAGTGGTCATTTCCTCCTCTTTCCCTGGCTTAATCTCCCTTCTTGGAAGATCCAGAAGTCCTGTTTGGGGCATCCTAGAGCCTTCTGTGCTAGAGGCCCCTCTAGACTTTGAACTTTTTTCTCCACTTAATCCAGTCCAATTGAACATTATGCTCAATTTGTCACAAATACAAGGCTTGTGTCTTATGCCAGCCACCCTCACATGATATCAGGTGTCCGGTGTGCTGGTAGCAACTAAATCTTTGGGTGGGATAGTCTGAGTATTGATCTCCTTAAAATCTGGGCCCTGAACTTATGTCTGGTGATTCTGCTTTTCTGCGATTCTGTGATTTTTCTCAGAAGGCAATCTACAAGGAGACTTGTTTAATATGCAAGAACAATCCCTTAGTAAAAATATAAGCCTAAATATCCTCCCCTACTGTGTGAATGTTTCCTCTTAGGTAATTCAGACCCAATCATTGACATTTGAGAGCCATGGCACCACTGCTCTGTTTTCCAGTTTGTCATTTGAGACTTTCCAAAGTTGTCACTCCTTAGGCAGAACAAATCTGCTCACTGCATATTTTCTACTGCTAATCTCACAGGCCTTCTAAGGATGTCTTTAGGGTTCTGGTGTCTGGACCTACTTATACTTCAGTGTCCCCCACCCCCACCCTTTCCTCAGCTGGCAGAGGAACCTCCTACTGTTATCATCAGCCCTGCACCTGACCCTGCCTGCCTTTGCCATGGGGTTCAGGTGGGACCCGGTGGGTTCAGCCTGCTTGGTCTAGGCACAGTTGCCTCCCTGAGGTACAAACTAAATGTTCTTGAACCCAGCTGATCATTAGAGTCACTGTGGAGTTCACGAGTTGAGGGCCAGTGCCTGGGCATCTGGTATTCTCAGTCCCCCAGGGGTAGGCCCTTGGGTACATAAGGAGCACACAGTCAGGCAATCTTTGCATCAGCACCCAGTCTACATTCCCAGGCCCCAGATGCTGTTTCTGTGACTTACCTGCCCTATCTACCTGCTGTCTTGACATCTGGCTCTTCTTTAACAGCTATTGCTCATCTGTTCCTAAAAGCCTTGTCAATTGCTTGCGCTTAGAGAGCACGTAATATATGCCAGACACTGTTGAACGTGCTTTACGTGTGTTTATTCTTGATTTTTATTTGCATTATTTTATTTGTATTAGTACCTCTTTTTACAGATGGGGAAAATGAGCAAAATTTAACAGAGAGGTTAAATAACTTGTTCTGGGTTGCACACGTTATTAGGGAGCTGAGCTGAAACTGGAACCCAGGCAGTCTGACTTCCAAGCTCTCATCATGTTTTTAAAATGGCTTTATTGAGATGTAAATTCACATAACATATAATTCACCCATTTAAAGTGTACAGTTCAGTGGTTTTTACTATATTCAGAGACCATCACCACAATCTAACTTTAGAACATTTTTATCACTCCAAAATGAAACCCCAAATCCATTGGCAGTCACTCCTCTGCCCCTATCAATCCCCCAGTCCCTGACAACCACTAATCTACTTTCTGTCTTAATGGATTTGCCTATTCTGGACACTTCATATGAATGGAATCATATCGAATGTGGTTGTTAAAAACTGGCTTCTTTCCTGTAAGCATAAAATCACCCACTTTGCAGCATGTGTCAGCACTTTATTCCTTTTTACGGATGAATATTATTCCATTATATGGATATACCACATTTTGTCTGCAGCCATCAGTTGACAGGTATTTGGTTGTTTCCACTTGAGAGCTCTTATTCTCAGCCTCTATGGTCTACCGCCTTTAATGATAATGGTGATCAACTTTGCAGAGGTTCCAAAGCACATTCACAGCCTGATCTCTTGATGGTTCCTACTAACACTGATATTATCACTATTTAAATTTCGTTACTTCTATTTTAGAAATAAGATAATAAAAAGACAGCAAGTCTCATTGGTTTGCCCAAGATCACATAGCCATGAAGGATGAAATAAGAACTTAACCTGGGTCTTCTGACTCCCAGTCTCGGGCTGTTTCCCCTGCATGGACATGCACACCTGTTGCTGTTTAGATGAGCCCCCAAGTCCTCTATGGGCATGGCCTTCCCACACGCCATGGGACTTAAGCAGAGCTCTCTGTCAAGAAAGAATCCCAGCCTGTCCTCTAGAAATGGCAAATGTCTTAGGCTGATCGAGGCTCAAGTGCTCACCACATTGTCCCAGTCCCAGTGCCCTCCTGTCACCACAGCCCGCAGTTGCCCAGGACCCTGTGATGGTACTTGGATGGGCCACAGGTTCACAAGTCCTGAAGCTCTTCTTAAGAATTGGTTGTTTTCCCCAGAAACTACCTAATATCATCAAACATCCCTCTTGAGGAAGATTCTACTCTCCAACCCAAACTGTTCAAAAGAGACACTCCTGCCGCCCAAAGATTTCAGTGCCCTCTCTGTGGAAGAGCCTGGCACCTCCTTGGGCAGCCTTGATACTCCGCGGAATGACGAGTCTGGTGAGAAGGCTTTAGGTCTCTGGCCCAGAGGTCTGCTCAGTGTTGGCCTCGGGACTCCATCGTGCAGGGCTTTCTGAGGGCGGCCTTTAAACCATGCCAGAGGCCAGGACTCTTGGCTTTCAGACACAGCTGCTGAGACTTCTGGTGGTGTTTGGGTGAGAGGGGAAGGAAAGGAATAATGATGATGATGATGATGATAACTGACGCTTATGAAGCATTTACCATATGCTGGGAATTCCCCTGAACATTTTGTAAATTCTTTTATTTAATCCTCATAACAGCACTATGAAGTGGTGTACTATTATTATTTGCATGTTAAAGGTGGGGAAGCTGAGGCATAGAGAAGTCGAGCAACTTGCCCAAGTTCACATCGCTGATTGGCGGCAGACTTGAGATTTGAGCTCGGGCAGGCTGGCCCAAGAACCCTTGCTCAGAGTCCCCACATTGCACTCGCTCATTATTGCCCAGCCAGAGAGATGCCAGAGCCTCATTGGCCCGTGTGGCTAATCATTGGTCAAGGGATTTTCTCCCGGAGCAGCACCAAGAAGGGTATAGCTCTGAGAAGCCAGGGAGACGTGATGGCAGGCTTGGCAGCCACAAAGACTGGAGCTCTGAGGTGACGTGGTGGCCATGCCTGCCCCTCTTCCGTTTGCGCCTCTCTGAGCTTCACTTCTCTCTGTCCCATCTGCTGTCATGAGCACTGGGGTTCTGTAAATGTGCTCAGCCTTGTCCAGAAAGACCTCAAACTTGACATGCCTAAAACCAAACTTACTGCCTTTCACCAAAACTGCCACCACATGGCCTGCAGCCAAATCAAGGACCTCCCACTCCCCACTGGGGCCTTGGAGTTCCCTCCCCTCCCGTTCCAGTCTCCTTATGTGTGAAATGAGGAGAAGTTCTTCCAACCTATGGTGATTGTGATGATGAGGTAAAGTACTCCACAAAATGGCTTGGCGAGAGCCAGGTACACAAACATTTAGTAAATGCTGGTAACAACAACAAAAACAACGTTTCCCTTTGTGTTGATAGCAACCCAGTTCCTTTGGTTCCAAGATATAACATGGTTGGGACTGTTCTATTTCCTTCCTCTGGGGTGTTACAGCTAGTTCCTGAGGTGGGGGGAGCTGTCAATAGGTAACACTGTGATAAAAGACCTGGCCAAGCTTGCGGTTCAGAAGAGGGCTGCAGGCTCAGCAGGAAGCTAAAGTATAAACCAGGAAAGACAGTGGTCTATCCTGACAGAGGGGGCTGCTCTGGTAGACGGACCCTCCCTAGGCAGTTTTGACTATCTAATAATAATAAAAGTCAACATTTGCTGGGGGTTTGTCCAGTCCCAGTGATCTAAGTATTTCATGGATTAGCTATTTAATCCTCACAACAACCCTATAAAGTAGATGCTCTTATTATCTTCATTTTACAGATGGGGAAATTGAGGCACAGAAAGGTTTGAGTAATGGGAAGGCTGGGCCTTAAAGCCACTCAGTCTAGCACCAGAGTCTATGCTCTTGACCCCTATGTTAGGCTGCCTTTTACCTACCATGTGCTGAGTATAGACACAGGGTCCTCTTCCTTTGTGTGGATATAGGGTGACCCTGTTTGTGGGTGGGGACAAGACTACCTTGTTTCTCTCTCAGCCCTCCTTCATACATTCTCCCTCCACTGTACACACTCATCTACATCTGTGGCTGTCCTCTCTTCTTTATCCAACCCAGATCTTGCAAAGGCAAACACGATACCCACCACCTCCTCCACGAAGCCTTCCCTGACTAAACACAGCTCACAATGGACTTTCTTCTCTCTAATTTGGCATAGTCCCCTGATCTAGCTCTTCATTATAATACTTTATAACACAGCTGTTTAACATGGCAACAATTATTTACCTAATTCTAATCATGTAAAAACAAAATCAGGAAATGATGAAGTGACTTTCTCAAGGTCACATAGAAGGTCAGTGATGGAAATGGGATTGGAGCTCAGTGATCTACTCACTACAGAACTGAATGCCTCACTGTCTGGCCCAAGTTGTATTAATGACCAAGAGGTTCTATTGACATAATTAAGACATTGATGAAATTTCGTCCTTGGTGTCCCAAAGGACTCCATGCCATCTGGGAGCTCACCAGCAGGGATGTAGATGTTAGCGGGTCACAGGCTGGCCTCCCGTTAGCCTTAGAAGAACACTTCCACCATGGACCCCCTGGGTTCCTGCTGGCAAAGGTCTAGATGCTGGTGAAGTCTCTCTGGCCCCAATTCTAGGTATCCCTCCCACATCTTTAGAACACATTGGCGAAGAGGACAATTTTCAATCAGTAGAAGAATGTGTGGGAAGACACATGCACACACACACACACACTCACAAATCCTAACAGGCTGTTGATGCTAGTGAAAATCATTTTTTGTTTTTTTCTGCAGATGTATCCTTATTCTCTTCTTGGAAGGGGCCTTAGGAAAATTAGAATGGAGTGATGAGTCAAGATGTAATTTAACGGCAGCCCCAGGAAAGTGTAGCATCTCATTCTTAAAGACGAGAAAATCCAACTATATTCAGGGTTGCTAAGGGACTTGTCTAGGAGCCTACCCCAAGTAGTCATAGGTTTTTTTTAATTCTCGGGCTTTCCATCTCCAGTCATTGGAACCAGAATGTCTCCTAAATATTTTTCTTTCCTATGAAAAGCATCATCACACACAGCAGTCTCTTTAGTGAAGTGTCGTGGGGCTTATGTTGGAAGGCCTAAGGCAAACAACCAGTTTCTCTGACAGCCAGTGAAAAATGGTTTCCAGGATGCTGCCTTCACAGTAATATCTCTTTGCAAAATGCATGCGTACAAAGCAGACTTTCTCTCACATGATTACTAAGAATTCTGTACTTACTTTTTAGGTTGTTACCACTGGGAAGGAACAACTAGATTTTGAAACAGGACCAAAGATATTTGATTTGCAGATTTACATTAAGGATGACGTTCGTGTCACTGACCTGCAGGTCCTAACTGTCCAGGTAACAGATGTGAACGAGCCACCTCAGTTTCTAGGCAACTTGGCAAAAGGTAAGATACACCCAGTGCAATGCAGCCCAGATGGTGGCATCGGGGAGGACCCTGCGGGATGGAGAAAAACAGCAAAGTTAATACACAAGCAGCTGTTTCCCTGGAAAAGGCAGCTGCTTAATGAGCAGGGAATAAATAAAATGTCCTCCAGCCTAGGACTCCCAATAATAATGCCCAACAATGTCCAAAGCCATTCACACCCATGGTTTCTCTTGGGTGCCTCCCAGTCCTGGGGAGGAAACTAAAGCTTGGGACCTCAACTGGGTCACTCTGGAGGAATCTGGGCCAAGCTCATCAGGCTTGTCACTGTGCGCTGGTCATTGACTGACCTGTTCATTCTCCCAGTGGACGCTGATCCCTTGTGAGTCTGGGGTCTGCTGTGGAGTAGGGACAATATGCATGAGAGCATAGGGTAACTTCCTGCATGGTTTCCCTCAGGCTCATGGCTTTGAACGCCGTTCATACTGATAAGCTCCAAGTCTATCAGTTTAGTCCAGGTTCTCCCCTGAACTTCTGACTCAAATATCCAAGTGTCTTACCTAATATCTCCTCTTGGATATCTAATAGACACCTATGATAGTGTGATTTATAATAAGAAATATATATTTGGTCTTTCTTCTGTTCCTGACACGAAGCTCCTAAAACCCTTGGACTTCCTGTGATGAGAGTAATAAAGGCATCTTTTGTTATGTTAATGACATGACATTTGGAATGCCCCTAGGTCACCTACCTATGGCAGTTGTGACCAGTGGAACATTACAGGAGGGGAGAAGGGGTAGAGATTGAGTTCAATTACCAATGGCCAATTATTTAATCAATTATGCCCATGTATTGAAGCCTCCATAAAAACCCAAAATGGCTGGGTTTGGTGGAGTTTCAGGGAAAAGGGTGTGCCCAGAGAGCATGGAAGCTCCGTGCCCTTTCCCTGTGTTATGCCCTGTGCATCTCTTCCATCTAGCTGTTCCTGAGTTATATCCTTTTATAATAAACCAGTGATCTAGTAAGTAAAATGTTTCTCTGAGCTTTGTGATTCCCTCTAGCAAAGTAATCGAACCCAAAGAGGGGCTTGTGAGAAACTCAGATCTGTAACTGATGGGTCAAAAGCACCTTGACTTGAATTGATTTGAATTGTAGAACACCCAGCTGGTGTCAGAGAATTACTTGGTGGTGTAAAAAAAACCTCCACACATTGGAATTGGTGTCAGAGTACGACATCTCATACTTAATGTGTTCCTAAACCAAACTCTTGATTCCCACTCCAACCCACTGACTCCCACCATCCCCACCCAAAGCTGCTTCTCCTGTCCTTCCCATTTTAATTAGTGGTTACTCCATCCTTCCGTTGCTTGGATTAAAACTTTGAAGTCAGTCTTGACTCCTCTCTGTCTTTCACACCCAACATCAAATCCATTAGTAAATCTTGCCAACTTCTAAATCTGTGCAGAATCTGACCCATCCCTAGCTTTTCCACCACTACCTCCATGGTGCAAGCCACTAGCCGTGTCTTGCCTGGATTACTGCAATGGCCGACTCACTGGGCTCTCTGCTCTGCCCTTGACCTCTGCTGTTGATTTTCCTATACAGCAGACAGAGGGGTCCTGTTAACTATCAGTTCAATCAAGGCATTCCTCTGCGAAACCCTACAAGAAATTTCCCATCTCACTCAGAAGGAAAGCCAGAGTCTCCTTAAGACCCCATCAAATCTGGTGAGCCTGCACAATCCTCACCCCCGCCATGTTGTTCCCACACATCTCCCTGCCACCCCTTCTGCTCCAGCAGGCCTGCTCACCCATCTGTGAGTGCTCCAGGCACAACCCCATCTCAGCATATTGGCATTTGTGGCTTCCTCTGCCTCTTCCCCCATATCCCTATGTCCCTCCTCATTTCTTTAAGAATTTTTGTTCAAATGTCGGTGAACCTTCCATAACCACAGTATTTAACATTGTAACCCGACTCACAATACTCCTTTCCCTGATTTTTCTCCAAAACATTGCTCAGTAACACACATTTACTCACTTATTTTATTATCTATATTTTCCCACTAGAATGCAAGCTTGTGAGAGCAGGGTTTTATGTTTTGTGAACTGCTATATTCCCAATGTGTACATTACTGTTTGGTACATAGTGAGAACTCAGTAAACATTGTTTGTTTGTTTTTGTTTTTTTTTAAAAGATTTTTATTGGGGAATTGGGGGATGGGAACAGCGCTGGGGAACTGGGGGAAGGGGAACAGACAAGTTGCTGTCCTTTTGTTCTTCAGTCTAGTTGTGGAAGACGTTACTTCAGTGGCCCATGTTGATATTATCATTGCGCTCTTCCCGGGCGAGGCAGATCAGTCGAGGCAGATCAGTCGCCGGTTTCTGGATGGCCGCTCACACTGGCCACTGGCTACACACGGTAGCCCATGGCAACCCACTGCCGCAGGGGCTGCAGCCTATGCCATCCCCAGCGACTCAAGGCAGCCCAGCTCCAGGTTGAGCTGTTGTTCAGCATCTTAGCTGTAGAGGGCAGTGTCACTGGCCCTCACATGTGGGATCCGAACTGGGGCCCTCTGGCGTCCCAGGCCAGCTCTTAACCAACGCACCACTCGGCCAGCCTTGTTTGTTTGTTTGTTTGTTTGTTTGTTTGTTTGTTTGTTTGTTTGTTCGTTCGTTTGTTTGAATGAAAGCATGAACAGTGAGCAAGTGAATGAAAGCTGAAGCTCAGATGTAAGATGGCTCAAGTTTGAATTTTGATTTTGTTACTTACTAGTGGAGACAACCTCGTAAGTCCTCTGAGTCTGTTCCCTTATTTATAAGTTGGAGAAAGTGACAATACCTACTTTCTAGGGCCGCTATGAAGATTAAAGGAGAAAACATACGTTCAGTCCTCAGCACGGCGTCTCTAAGAAGAGTGAGTTAGTGTTAACATTCTCAGTCATGTCTCAGACAGAGATTCTCAGAAAGAGAAAGGGCAGGGCAGAGGGCATGGCGGCCCCTCAGGCAGGGCTGGTGCTGCCCGGTGGCGCTGCCCGCTCCTCCCTTCCCGACAGCTGAGAACTCTGAAGTAGATGAAATCAAGTTTTGGTCCCTTTTCTGAGCCTCCGTAGCCCTCTCTCCCCCTTATTCCATCTCTCTCTGTTTCACTGTCAGGCTTCTCATTCCAGGGACTCGTTTCTGCCGAGATGCTAAGTGCACTTCAAGGCGGGAACTCAGCTCAGCTTAGGTGGAACTTGCACATGGAGGGGCATGTGGGGCTTGGAGCAGCCCCAGCCTGGAGGTCCCTACCCGAGGCTCCTTTCCAACTCTGCTCTTACCACCTCCGTCTCTCCCACTAAACAACAGCATCCTGGGACACCGCTCATAGGAGGACATATGTGAAGACTGGGGTCCAGGTTGGCCCACCCTAGCACTTCATTCATTCCCATAAACGGACCCACTCCTGCGATCTCGCTGATTGGCCGTGCTGTCACTCATGGCCCTTATTATTGCAGCCCGCTCTTTCCCACAGTGCTTGGTGTCCTTGGCCGTGTTTGGCTTCCTTAGGCTGCCCTGGTTTGGGAAATCTCGTTTGCTTTATCTAATAAATTTTTTTTTATTCCACTGTGGGTATGGGTGTAGGTCTAAGCCTCTACATCGTGGAAGGAGCAAACCCTGGATTCATTTACCAGGTTGAGGCCTTCGATCCAGAAGACACAAATCGAAACATACCCCTCAGCGTAAGTCTCCCTGTTAAACTGAAGAGGGGCTTCTCCACGTTTCCTTTGACTCAGGAGCCTGGTGTCCTGGCAGGGTGAGCTTGGGCAGTGGCAACGGGAGGACTATGCTGCCCACTGTCAAAGCATAGAGGACAGGGGAGGCTGGCATGGGCATGAGGGCTCTGGAGACAGACACCCCAGACTGGACTCATGGTTCTGTGTGATCTTGGACAAGTTCTTAACCTCTCTGAGCTTTAATTTTTTTCATTGGCCAAATGGAAGAATAATAGCACCTAACACAGTTGGAGGGTTACAAGTTTTAGAGAATGAACGTAAAGCCACTTAGCACAGTGTCTGGTATATTGAAATTGCTCAATATTTCTTAATTCTAAGATGGTAAAAATCCAGCTATATTATTTTAAAAATAAGCATAAAATGTATACCCCAAAGGCAGGCATTAACACTTCCTTTTCAGAGATAAAGCCAAGTTGCTTGGAGCCCAGTTGAGCGAGAGCCAGAGCGAGAGAGCGAGAGAG